TGACAACTAATACAGTTACACACACCAAGAAGCTCAGCTGAAAGTCATCCTAGTCAGGAGCGGCTTAACACTTAGCTTGGTTGGTGTTGGTCTGTTCTTTAAGTTGCTCATTATACAGTTCAGTCTTCACTATCTTTGAACACTTCAGTTTCAGTTATAACCAAGTAACATATTCCATGTGAGATATGTGCATGAATCCAGACGGGCTGTTAATCCCTGTAGTCGTTTCTTGCACATAAATGTGCATGAAAAAAGTCGTGTTATATCTGTTTCTCTGTCAGAAGTAAGCATTAAGCAAAGGCAAAGTCTACTGTTGTTTTCTGATGTGCACACATTGTTCTTCAGGAATCAGAGGCGTAAGAACAGGCTTAAGGTTATTTAATACAGAGCTCTGGGGAGAAGACCACCATGAATACATGGCAGACTTTCCTGCTCTGACAAGCACAAACCTACTCTAGCTGGCAGAGGGATCGGGGTCCCAACACCCAGAACACGAACACACTGTGATCTACAAACCTACTCTAGCTGGCAGAGGGATCGGGGTCCCAACACCCAGAACACGAACACACTGTGATCTAATACCCAAACATGCCTGGCAGCTGAGTCTTTTGCCAGTCGGGGTTTGCTGTACCTGTCTGTCGGTCGTTGCTGTTTTCCACCAACAACAGATGAATTGTTCTCCTCCAAAACCTAAAGGAAACTTCAATTCACTGACTGTAACCGTGATGTGAAGGTCAGACAATTATGTCAATGTGCTTGCTCTGTGTTTCCCAGATCGTCCAGATGAACAACTACTTTGGTCTCGGCATCGATGCGGAGCTCAGCCTCGATTTCCACCTGGCCCGAGAGGACGAACCGGATAAATTCACCAGCAGGTGACTGTATACGCTTGACTTCACTACAGAGTAATGATAAGGGGAAATAATCTGAGTGTTTTTTTAGAGTAATACTCCTTTTCTTCTCTGTTACTCACTGCAGACAAGCTGTATAGTAAGATAGTAGATAGTAAACAGAGGAAGCCACCACTGGATTGGAGTCTGTCATCACATAGACTGATGATGATATGAGGCCTGTTGGCTGGTGGGCGTCGCAGCTGGCCCACTGGAGGCTGGGGCTGCATTAGTAGATGCTTTTTCTTAATCATTAAATCCTCATCCAGGGCCTGCTGGAGTGTTGGAGTGTGGTTGCTACCTTAGCCAGGCACATATGGTACATTGCCTGTTCCTGCCGTGCATCCTCTTGGTCGTCGACATTTGGGTTTGGTTCTGCCGAGGCCATATTCGGTTCGACTAGCAGCATCAAAGTGAAGCTTGTTTGTGTCTTTCTTCATCCACTCTCACTCACGTCCTCTGCAGGTTCCACGTGAAGCTTGCAGGGGCTCCTCTCTGATTGTTTACAGCCTGTGGTGCTCAAAAAACATGCTTCAGTCACAGCGTTGCAGTTTGAAAATCATGTTATGTTAAACTGCAGTATCGATTTGAAAATGAGTCTTTGTCTCTGCAAGGAAAGACCACATTTCCCATCAGCCCCTTTGCTCCCTGTTCCTCCGCAGGTTCCATAACAAAGGTGTGTATGTGAAGGTCGGTCTGCAGAAGATCAGTTCCACCAGGAGCCTCCACAAAGAGCTGCAGCTGCAGGTGGACACTCACGACATCCCGTTACCCAACATAGAGGGACTGATCTTCCTCAACATCCCCAGGTGGTTACCAGGTGTACACACACACACACACACACACACATACAGCTCACAGCAGGACTGTATGGCCTCGTATTCACCTTCCTGTGTGTTTGTGTAGTTGGGGTTCTGGTGCCGATCTCTGGGGGTCAGAGGTCGACGGCCGCTATGAGAAACCAAGCATCGATGATGGTTTGCTGGAGGTGGTTGGGGTCACTGGGGTCGTCCACATGGTGAGAGTCACAACTTCTTCTTATAAAAATTAACGTTCTCACAAAGACACCTAGAGCACATACGCCTGATACACAGCAGCTTGTGCAGACGGACTGAACAGTTACACTGAATAAACAGGAAGACGACTACAACTTAAGTGTTTTTGACTTAATCACTTTTATTGGCATGTTAGGCACACAAGGAATTTGTCTGCGGTACAGGCAGCCATCTGCGGTGCCAACTCACACACACCGATGGCGGTCAGGAGCAACTTGGGGTTAAGTGTCACTTCGACGTGTGGACTGGGTAGAACGGGAATCGAACCGCTGACCTTCCAGTCAAGGGGTGACCGCTCTACCTCCTGAGACAGTGTTCAGACCCTGTCACTTTTTGGACACCTTTTGTGTTGTAGCTTTAATGTAAACGCTGGTTTCTGCCCATTATGACAAATCAACTGCAGGTCATTTTATCCAATTAAAATTAAATCTACAGCACAATATAGTGAAGTGACTGTACATAACAGGGATTGATGACATCCAGCCAAGTTTAGTTTAAGATGTGTAAACAAAGGAACATGATGAACAACTCCATAAAACAGGAACATCAATGAAGATGTTCAGACTGAAATGAATGAAAGAATTAGTTTGACAAAAACGTTTGATGGCACTAACCACAAGATTAAGATAAGGAACTGATGAGTCATGACAATGAGAAGAGCTCTCAGCCGTGTGGCTGTGTGCGTGTATGTGCAGGGCCAGGTGCAGAGCGGCCTGCGGTCCGGGATTCGTATTGCTCAAGGGAACTACATCAGGCTGACAGTAAGAAAACCCATACCTGTCCAGGTGGACGGAGAACCGTGGATCCAGCCGCCGGGACACATCATCATCTCTGCTGCTGGTCCGAAGGTCAGCGCTGTTACTTAGATTTGTCTCTCCTTTTGTCTGTCTCACTTCTTTCTCCTGTTGTTTACTGACTTGGTCTGAACACCTTCAACTTGACTTTCTTCTTTCATTTATCTTGTTTCCGTGTGTTTTCTCAAGAAAATAACGTCCCGTTTTATCCCATTTGGCTTTTATCCTTTTATGTATCTTTATTAATGCAATGAATTAATGCACTTCATCTTTAGTTTGGTTTATTCTGTGCAAACAATCTGTAGCTAAAAAGTGCTTTATACATAGTTTGGTGTATTTTATTCTGTGCCTACATGTTATTCACTATGTTCTGAGTATACCTATAGTTTACCTGTACTTCCATTTATTCTTTCTATACCTATAATATGTCTGTTCTTTGGTCAAATGTGTGTGTACCTCCAGATAATCTTTAACTTTGTGCTGTATACTCTTGTAGTTTATCTGTAGTTTGGTAGTGATCTCTAGTGTGATATATGTTGGCCATACCTGCAGTTTACTTGAGTTGGTGTATTCTGTGTGTACTTGTATATTGGTATTGTGCAGTTTTGTTGTTTAGCTACAGTTTGGTATAGTCTGCATGAAATTGTACTTTATTCATAGATCATCATCATGCATCCTGAAGGTTATTTGGAGGTAGATGTATTCTGTGTGTACCAGTCAGTCATCTGCAGCATGACATGTTATTTGTACACAGTATGTCTAGTATACTGTGTGTTTAGTCAGCGTATACCTGTAAGTAGTCTATAGTTTGGTATATTCTGTGTACGCCCTTGGATTACCTGTACTTCTCTTGTTTGGCTGTAGTTTAGTTTGTGTATAATTGCAGTTTGCCTCTGGCTTAATATGTTCTACAGTTTCGTGTAGTTTAATATATTCTCGGTTTACCTGTTTATCTGTAGTTTGTCCTGTCTAGACCTATAAATAATCTGTATTTGGTTTTGTGGTTTTTGATCCTGTAGTTTGCTGATGTCCACCTACCGGTAGTTAGTTTGGTATAGTTTATGTGTGTCTCCTGCTGTCTCCAGGTCCGGATGCTGAGGAAGTCCAAGCAGAAACAGAAGAAATCATCGGCTGGCGTGAAGGACGGACGTTCGGAGAGTCCGTCCTCCAGTGACCGACCCACCTGAATGTTGGTGTCTTGCCTTTCACCTTCTTCCTGCTGCACTGGGGAAGCCATTTAGGTCTTAGCAGCCAGCTGTGATTTCACTCATGTAGCTTGTAGCGACGCTGACGGGCCAGAGATCGGCCTGGAGAATGAAGTTTAGTTTTTACAGCCGGGATCACCTCATGTTGGCATTGCCTTTCCATCCTGCTGACTATACTCTTCTCAGTTACATAACTGACAAGAACCATGGTTAATATTCAGCACCTAAAATGTACATTTCTACTTGTTAACACAAGACAGTAACTGTCTAATACATTCATAATAGAATTTCTGCATAGATTGTTATTGAACTTTGACAATTTCCCAGTATGGATAAGCTCTGAGCTGGAACAAATAATGTAGAACAGTATTTTCCAGAGGTTGTTAACCTTCTGTCCATATGTGCAGTATGTGTACAGTTAGTAGCAGCAGACTCAGTGTCTGCTCATACGTTGTAATAACTACTTGTAACAAACATTGTGCAGCTATAGAGTGGTTGCGACCTTGATGTTGGTTTGTAGTCAAAGATATGTTGAAATCGAATACCGACACACTCTTGAAGAGACTGAAGAGGAAAAGCTTAAAAAGCTGCTACCATGTTATGTTAACCTAGACCAGAAATCTCCTGGGATGCTGAACTGGCTCACTTCTGCTTGTCTAGTGTGTCGTCACAACACTGGTGTTGTGGTGAAGCTTTCCAAAGCTAAAGAGCACGCAAAGGAAATTATAGAAATCCCCAATTTTATGAAACCACAGTGATCTCTGTGCACCATCATTATGAAACTGGAAATTTCACAAGTCAAGAAACTGATTAAAATAAAAAGATCAGTCTGAGCAGTGCAGTGTAAAGCAGCTGGCGTTTCAACAGAAACTTTAATCCTTCAGCATGACTCTAAACTAGTTTAGCTGCTTTTACTTGGACCACCAGCTGTAAAGAGGGTGTATACTGTCAGTGCTGACCACATTGTTTTACCACAGATTATCATCTTGTAATAATGTTAATAAATTATCACAATAGAAAAGATTTGTTCATGCAAGATGATAATAACTAGATAAAAAATAAAGAATAGATTGTGTGAGGCTCCAAAACAAAACTCAAACAAAACACATTTAATTTTAGGTTAATCCAATATAGTATACGTGAATTGAGAGTTTATACCCAAAAATGTGGAGACAAACTGTGGCGCTGCAGTCACAGGTAGCACTGGACACTGCAGCAGGAAAACACTAGTAGATTGGTGAGCTCGTTAGCTCGTTTACTAGCAGGCTAACCAACAGGCCACAGGGCCAGAACTAAACTTACTTTGGGTTTCAATAACTAAAATGTGGGAACACAGACGGGAAAACGAGCCCAGAACCAGCTTTGTGAGCTGGTGGCCAAGCAGTTAGCTCACAACTAATTTTTAATAATTAAATACTGTAATTATTACCAATATAAATGATAACTAAATGATAACGATGGCATTACTGATTATGTGAAGGAATGATTTGTAATTTGAAGGTAAAATTGCTCAGTTGATTGAGTGATTTATCAAGACTGTTTCATCACTAAGCTCATTAGGCTGTAACAGCCAGTGAGTTCAAATTAAGTTTCCTCTAGAGTGACCGCCCATAAAAGTCAAAATGCCAGAGTCCAAACTTAAATCACCGTTGGGTGCCACTCCCAATGGAAAGTGCTCAAAAACGAGCTTCAGATGATCCTCCAGCAACAGAAAGACAGTGGATCTAATGAAGGAGGTGCTTCGTCCACATTCCCAGAGAAACGGTGTAAAGAAGGGATCTGATGCTGAAGGTCCCAGCTCTTGATGTAGCTACAGCAGTATTTGATCACTTTACTTTGTAATAATTCATATTTTAATCTAAGATCTGCGTTGACTGGTTTCTTTTGATGTTTTTGGTGCTAGAACAATTTATGTCTGTGCTTGACTTGAGATTCGAGGATCCTGTTTTTATTCAAAGCCGCAAACCAAACTGCCGACAAAATGCTTCTTGTATTAAAGGTGTTTTATGGGTGGGCCAAAGCATTTAAGAGAAGTGCATTCTATTTAGATGGCTACATTTACTGAATTTAACTGGTTTAGACTATGGCAGGGTTTTCTGGCTGTGAATAAACACTGATCTGAGAGCGAATGTTGATACACCAGTGGCATTATTTGAATCAGCTGTAAAGTGCTGAGCTTCACCTGCAGTCCGAGCAGCTGACAGGTGACTGTGTGTGTACTTTAGTTGTTCTAAACTGTTCAGATAGGAAATACTGTCCGTGTTTTGTTACATGCATGACGTACTGTAGGTCTGCCTCCACATAGAGCTGAGTGTTGTTTGCATAGCCTCTTTGTCCACACTGATGAGTCAGTCTGTTGAACCAGAACTGCTGCTTTTACATGTTTTAAACAGTTAACTGCATGTTTTTACCATTCTCTAAATCACCAGTTTGTAGATTCATGTCCATCCCTTCTGGAAGCTGTTAATACCAGTTCGTGTCACAAAAATGCTTTGAAACTTGCTGCTTAGAGACAATCCATCACTGGTCGCAATTTCTTCATGTGCCATTGGTAACACCGGAAACTAGTGAGAACTCAGTTACTAGCAGTATTAAACTAGATTTACTAGCTTTGCAAGATGGTTAGCTACTTTACTAGCAAGTATGTCAAAACAAAACTTAGTAAATGGAGGGTAACAAAAATGTGGAAGCACAGCTAGTTTGTTAGCTTGTTGCTAAGCTAGCTTGCATCAAGATTGTTCTTTTTGCAAAGAGATATGCCAACAAAAGAGTTAAAAACAGGTTCGTAGGAAGTGAGCGTGTTGCTTCAGATTCCTGCTCCAGGACAAACTGGAAAATGTAAGGTTTCATTCAAAGTGAAACTAACTAACCAAAACATGTGCACAGGCCAGCCACTGGTCAGCTTTGGAAAGTCTAATGGGAGCTAATTTAAGCTCTGCACCAAATTTTATACAGAAATGACCTTATGTCTTTCACATGTAGAGGACCTATACTGCCTGTTTTCATGTATTTTGCTGTCCAGGCTAATGATCTGTTGGCCTTTGTGAGTAGTTGCCTTTAATTGTCCTTGAATGCTACACAGGTTTTTAAAAAGTCCCTCCTCACAGGATGAAACAAGGTCCCCAAAGTGCTGCAAGATTGTATTTTTATATGCATCTAAGTTAGAGTATATTGTTTGTAACAGGTATGAAAATGAC